CAGGAAGCTCTTCCTGCCACTGCAAATCAGGAAGCTCTTCCTGCCATTGCAAATCAGGAAGCTCTTCCTGCCACTGCAAATCAGGAAGCTCTTCCTGCCACTCCAAATCAGGAAGCTCTTCCTGCAAAAGGGCTCGTGAATACACCTCAGGGTATTCCTTTGTTTGCATGAACCGCTTTGGAGCGTATCTCTCCACATGTACCCTAATCTATCATGTACTTACTGACGGTCTTAAGATACTGCACAGTTGACCTTGATTTTGCCATAGTACTTTTGGTTCAAAATGAACCTGCTTAAATTTGAGCCCAGCCATGCAGAGCAATGCACCATGTCTTCTGATATGCACTCCGACCGGGAATAATGCTGTGATAAACTTTTTTTTCTGTCACCACGAATAGAAGACCCTCACTAATGGTTTCTCTCTCTGTCAGCACCCCCATTTCACGTTACAGTGAAAGTGCCTGTGAACACAGAATTCAGTGGCGGTGTGGCTGACACCCGGGAAGATGCGGCTGAAGGGACCTACAGGGCTCTTGCAGGAGATCTTGCTCTGGAACATTCAGGACCAGGTATCAACTAATTCCCAAGTGATCTCTGTCCACTGAACCCCTACAGGTGAAGATAAGGTTATCCTCTCTCCCAGAGCTCCTTCCTGGTGGTACCAAACAACTGCTCCTGGATTTCTTCAGGAAGGCCGGCTGCAAGCCACCTGCGAAGACCTACAAAAAAACCCAAGAAGGGAAGTTTAAATGCACACTGGCCATCCATGGAGACTTCACTTTTCAGAACCAAGGTGAGCAGTCTCGACAAGACTCTTAGTGAAGGACTCTCAGTGAAGACCTCTCAGTGAAGATCTGTATTCATGTTACTTGTCTTGTATGTTCTCAGAAGGGACATCCACAAAGAAGCAGGCAGAACAGGATGCAGCAAAGGAAGCCTTAACCCGACTGTCACGGGTCCTGGGCTGGAACCAGGAAAAAGTAAACAATAGTAATTACAAAGGAAAGCTGAAGGAGCTGCTTGATAAACAGAATAAGCAACCAACCTATCAGATACTTCCAGGAGTTACTGACATAAGTAACAGACCTGCAGGTTAGGAGATTTTTTATTTCCATGAATCTATGGATCTGTGTTTAATTGACATACGCTTCTGTTGGTGTCATTCCATGTGCTCATGTTGTCAGTTCCATAAGGTATCAGTTCTCTGACCTTCCTGATGTAGATGGTCTCAGCTCAGGAAGCACAGAAGGTCCCATCTGTGAAGCCGCTGCATCAGTTAGTGATGTGGTATCCGTGGCGATCCCATCTGATGCCTGCAGTCAGTGCCCTTCTCCTCAAAAATCTGCCAAGATAGACTGTCCAGGTAAAGCTGCGCCGGGCATTTGGATAAGAATCAGGTTGCAAGGGGGCAGGCAGACGCCACGACTGCTTAGGGCCACGATAAAGCATGTCTACTGCAGGGCTTTTATTATTAGATAGATCATCAGATATTATTTAAGTTTCTTGCCCACAGCAAGGTACAGCAAACCACTTGCCATTTTGTCATGAATGATAAACGATATATGAAGTCTGAGTGTGTTTTACCTCTCTCTGTGTTACTGTGTGGCTGAGACAGATATTCAAAAAATGCTTGGAGTCTATCGTCTAAACGAACAATTGCAGAATTTGCAAATCAATCCAAAGATGAGCTTTGGGTACAAAGTGCAGATCAACTTCAAAGACGGCACCATAAGGAGCCAAGATGCCCACACGACCAAAAAAGATGCCAAGCGGAAGCTCTACTTGGAATTTGCCAAAGCTCTTTCCCTCGGGGAGTCAAGCACAGGTATTTTTGTAATTTAAGAAAAGCATGACATTCAAGAGTAAACAACAACAACAATAATAATAATTTCTAATATAATAATTTAATAAATGACAGCACTCACTACTGTTACAGTGTATCATTGATGAACGTGGACATTGTTTAATCACAGCACCGTTTTATTCCTTTTTTTGCAGCAGCATCCACTGTTTAGTACTAAAGTTTCTATCTTACTGCCAAATTCTTTTATTCTTATTTTACAGAGGAGCATCAGGCTGTTAATCTTGTTAAAGAATATTTCAAACGCCACACCTTTGAGCTACCGTCTGAGGATTATTTACCAAAAGCTGATAAGTTTGTATGCTCACTGACACTTAAGTCCTTCTGTTTCTCTTACGAAAGCCGAGGTAGGAGTTACGCCACTGTGCGACTTTGCTCTCATTGGTGCAGTGACAGTCACATGGGGACAGTGGTGCTTACAGGCTGCCCTTGTCACCCACAGAGCCATCTGAGGAAGCGGCCAGACAGGAGGCCTCCCGGCGGGCCTTTTCCCGGCTGGCCCCCCTGCTTGGGCACCCGGCGGCTGTTAGCGGCTGCGGCACTGAAGCCGAACAGCAGCTCAAGCTACTCCTGCAAGCCGCGGATCAGTTGGATCCAGTTTTTCAGCCACTCCCTACTCAGCACAAGGCCACCGCCACACTTGGCCTGAGTAATTTCTCCTTGGAAAGCAGAGCCCCGAATAAGAACAGCGCTCGGAGCAGACTGAGCAGCCGCATCCTCGGACTCCTGGGAGAGGAGGGTGCAGGTGTGTCCTGCTACATACATCACTGTCATTACATAGCAAATCAGGCGACTCTGAAGGTTGCTTAACTAGCACAATATCATACTTGATATTTTGAAAACTAGTGATTTTTACTGATCTACTCACAGAAGCAAGCAGCAATATTTCAGTCAGGAATCAGCTTGATGATTGGTTTAAGAAGAGGAGAATTGAACAGCCAAAATTCGAGAACACGCAAGATGGTGTGAAGGCTACATTCTCAGCCCCTCTGACTTTTTCTCACCCAGGTAGGGGTGACACTTCCCTAAAAAAATAATAATAATAATATGCAAATTAAGCTGTGTGCAACATGCACGTCCTCTGGTTCACCATGTAAAAAGAAGCAGGCGTTCACCAGTTGCATTTTTTTATTATGCTAGGATGGGAAAACAGCTGGAAAGATGCCGAAAGCAGGCTGACAGATGTGATGAAGGCACGACTCGGACATCTTTCTGAGGACACCAGCTAGCATCAGAGAGAAAGTTGGGAAGGGAGAAGCAGACGTCTGCGTTTCTGCTTACATCTGGGACTGTCTTAGTCCTTTAGCACGAGTGTGTGCACCGTCACCACTGACCCCCGGTGAGAAGGGCTTTGCAGACTCTCTAAATGGAAGTGCCACGTTTACAAGCTTCAAAACATACTGCAAAGATAGTGCAGTGGGGGGATTAAGCCAGATGTATCCTCATGTCAGCAAATATATCGTGCTCAGCCATAAGCAGTGTTTGTTTTTTTGTAAAACGAGGCTGCTCTTTACAGAAGGGTAACATGGATGCGCAGATCAATACTGAAATATCAACTCTTTCTCTGATGGTTTCATTTGGAGATTTGATTCTAATATTAAAAGACTGATGTCTTAACTTGGTAATTTAAATGTAAATTTTAATAACAGGCACGTTTAGGGTTAGGCCCATGGTTGAGGGGGGGGAGACTTACGTTCAACATAAGAATGTTTTACTACTAGCCAACTGGGCTACTTCAATCAAAAAACCAGTAACCCAGATAAATATTCTTTTTATTCACAATGTACAATGTAATTTTCAAGCACGGAGAGCAACCAAAGTCATCGCGTCTTACAATAATAAATAACCATGTCAAAAGTTATTTCCAGCCCATCATTTAACTTCCATAAGCAGTTTCCTCATTCAGAGCAGCACAGGTTAACACAGTCAGTGCGTAGCCTCACAGTCACTGAGGTACAAAAAGCTGCTCATTCTGGCATCATCATGTTTTTTAAAGTCCACATTAAAATGCTTTGGTGAAGGGAGTGCTAAGTTGAGGGGGAAAAAAGGTGCATTAAATAGTTTTTTCGATTTCTGTTCAATCCAGCTGGCCAACATCTCTGCTATTTCTTTGCTCTGGAAAATGGAGTACAAGGGTGTCAAATGATTTTTTTCAAATTATTCACCTGGGTGATTAATTGCATGAATAATTGTGTAAACAATCATTTGTGTATTATGTGTAGAAATTCATTTATTTCAAACAGAAGTCTCAAAATAAAGATGAACGTAAATTTTCCGTGTATTAGTTTGGGATGGTTCAAAGTGGCTGTAACATAAAAGCATCTCACTCCACTATGTGCACCTACAGACTCCTTTCCTCCTCAGTATGACACTGTCCTTCATCGACACATTGGCATGGTCAGAGCCACCTTGTGCTATTTTCGAGGGCGTAGTTGTCTAAAACCTATTTGGCAAATAGCTTAAAAAAAGGACCCTGAAAATCATTGAAATTGCAGTTAACAATGAGAAAGATCCCCATTTTAAGGCAAGGACCTTCAGTAAAATAAATATTACGCTAATTACGCAATCCTTATCCTTTGAACCTTCTGGCAGTGTTTTTAATGACATGAGTAACATTGTTCCCTCAGAGGTCCCCTCCGTCATATTATTCACCACATTCGTGTCCACACCACCCGGTAAACCAGCCACACCTTACTACAGTCTAAGGCATGAACCCTGGTGGTTGATCTCTAAAAAGGTGACCTATCTAATTAAAACTTGCATTTCACATAGTACTTCCATTATCCTGTCCACCCGCATAATTATTTTCTTTTCCTCCTTCTCCATCTCTTTCATGGTTTGTCACCTTTCCGCCTCTTCCATGGTCTTTGTCTTTGCTTTATATCACATACATTCTGTTGATTTCAATCATTCTCCTTCAATCTTCATAAGTAAATAATTTTCTCATTGTTGCCCTTCCTGGTCTTTTCTCTGAAGATCTCTTTAATCTATATTAAAAATACAGATAAATCGAGGTCTTGCGCTAAAGAGTTTGTTAATCCACGTTCACGGTTCTTTATGTTTCTACCCCGCCGCGGTAAACGGACATTTAAAATTGAAAATGCGAACATAATTTGCGCAAAACCGACACTTTCAGCTATATTCATACAAACTAACATCAAAATGATACTGAAACACGACTTGTGCTAATTAAATGGCTTTAATATATGTCGAGGGAAGAAAACGACATGCGCAAAATGTTAAAAATGTTATTTTAAAATGATAGCAATACTTAGGATATGACCTAAACCTGGTGTTCCACCAAAACGGTTCCGGTGTAGCGCAGCACCCCATCGGGAATGATTTCCGTTTCTATACCTTTATACAGTATTAACCGAAAAATCATCGCGCCGAGTCAATGGGCCGTTTTAAAACGTATCGCTGCCAACACATCGACTGCTAAACGGCGGCGTGGTCATGCAGTGTTAACAGGTATATTTATCTGGCTACCCCGCTTTAGCGACGATGGCAGCTGTCAGCATCACAGAACCGCTCTGCCAGCCTTGTGCATACGACGCTAAATTCAAAGGTAAGTCATTGCACACAAAGATATCTTAGGATCTATTTAGTAATTTGATGTTATGGTCATTATTACAACCACGGACTTTTTAATGAAAGTTTATTTTGCAAGCTCGTTGAATCAATCACAATTATTCCTCATCATCTTATTTTATTTATTCTTAAATTCAGATACTGTTTAATTTAGCATTAATTGCAAAGCACAGCACAAGCATTCTAGGTTATTTCTACCACCACCACTAATATTAATAATATATTATTAACAATAACAACAGCAATGACAACAACAAATATACGTTTTGTTAAATAACAATAACAACACTCATTATTACTTTGATTATTCTATGATTCACGTAAAATATAAATTTGTAGCGACGCACATAGGAAGAAAATGTATCAATGTACTGACTACCTTACTTGCTTCTGCTTAAAGGGATTAAATGCTACATGTTTATTGCATTTTTTAAATTTTTGTAATGCATGAAAATATCTGTTCCTTACTATCCAGGTGACTGAACTTAGGCTAAATTAATTGTCCAGGTGAGTTTTCAAGAAAAATGAGAAAGTCATCTGAACCGAGTTTTCTTCATATTAGACTTTATGTGTGATTATCTTGTCACCAGTGGAGCTGCACGTGAGGAAGCCGTTGTTGTCTGTGCACCTGAGCAGCGAGCAGGTAGGACTGGAGATGCTGTGTCTCTGCAGCCAGCTGGACCTCCTGATCAGGGCCCAGGTGAGGCGGTGAGGCCAGGTCCTCCGTTTGGCACCCGGCAGGTTATGCACGGTGCCCAGTGGCTCATACGTTTAATGGCAAACGGATGGAGGTGCCAGTGTTCGCGTCAAACCCACTTTTCTCCAAAACCTCCCCCAGTTCCAAGAGCAGCTTAATCAGGACCTCAGTCCAGAGGAGTCAGACTCTTTTCAGCGAGAAGGTGTGTGCCCCCCCTCAGCCCCCACCCATAACTCTAGCACCTCGTTACTGTGTCGTAAGCACTGCTTCTGCTAACCTCAGATTCATGGACATTCATCTCGCTTCCACACAGGTGCTCAGATCATAGAGCGCATGTATCTGTGTCTAGAGCACTTGCCTGAACCTGCGCCACAGCTGGAGGTAACTTCAAGATACCTTGCTGTCCATCGCTCTAGCTGATGCTATTTAGCTTTTCTATACATTTTCGGTGTCTGATGACTTCAGGAGAAATGAGTCACACTACATTTTACTCACCAGGACTACTTGGATGCAGTAGGATTGTCTGCCATGTTCCCACGGGTAGAAGTCTTCATTATACATGGGAGCCCGGTGGACATGCTGGAGAAGCCAGCCATGGATGGTGAGGAGGTGGATACGGTGCCTGGTGCACATTGTTGAGGTTTTTGTACATCAGACCTGAATCTCTTTAAGTAGTTTTTATAGTATAAGCTTGGACAAACCCAGAGTGCAAAATGCCGCGGAATGCTCAGGACTTCACTTTGTGGCCCACAGAACAACCCTCAAAATCATACCAATTTATTTAGAACCAGTAAGAGAATTTCCACAGATGTAGTGCTTTTAGCTGATAGCATTGTTTAGATGTGGGAGTTGCCAATCACACGACGACACACTGCATGTTGACGTGATTTAAGGAAGGTGTGAATGAAGCTGGAACACCCCCTCAGCACAGTCGTGTCTCCGCAGGCTACTTTCCTCACATCGCCAGGTTGAACCAGGTACTCGTTCTCAGTCAGCAGCTTGAGGATGATGTGAAGCACTTGGGGAGCCACAAGTACGTAGCCCACCAGCTCTCCGTCCTTTACGTGAGTGACTTCCCTTTATAGTTACCGTAACGCTCATAATACATGCTGTTTTCATTTGCTCCTCCTGACTGGAAATGTGTCTGATGACCCACAGCAAGTTCTCAGCACCTTCAAGGGCATCATGCCATTATCAGTGCTGAAAAGGGACATTGAAGCCAACTTCAAGCAGTTGAAAATGGCCCTCGTGACAGATGAGAGTTCCAAGCAAGAGCCCCTGTTGCCTGCCCAGTATGTTAACTGGTAAGAGGTTGCGCAGAGTGTTGGCGTCACACTTACGGTAGGCGTAGCTGGGAACCTGGGCCAGAGTGAATTAATTAGACTGTCATGTAACATGCAATGGAGTAACGACACATGCAGCTGAGTGATGTTTTGGATAAAATCCCAATTAGGTGAATTCTGAACATAGGGGTTCATTTTGAAAGTTGAATTCTGGAAGCAGAAGGAACATACCTCATTCTCATGCATGATTTGAAGTAATTGCTATCTGTACAATAACAATACGATTCTATTTGATTATCAATTAATCATTAATTGACTTTTTGCTCAGTATGTTTCATCTCTTAATTGACTGCTACACTGGGATTTTAAACTCTTTGCAGGATACTGGATGTGACTCACTGCATTATCTCTTCTGTCTCTTCGCTTCCCGAAGAGTTGACTCAAGACCTCAGCACAGCCATGAGCTTCATCTCAAACCTTGCATGACAGACGCTACACGGCTCTCGCTGGTTACTCTGTGACACTCACACGTATCATTTCTCTTCATCTGCATGTGTGATGTTTCTGTGTTTCTTAACGTGTAAAATATATTTATTATAAAAAAAGATGGAAACAGCTTTAGGTTTTATTTGTAGTATTCTGCAAACCAAGTTGTTTGTTAGTATAGAGTTGTAGTGATATTCTAATTTATGTCTGATGGGGTGTGATTCAACATTAAAATTGGTTATTTTGTATGACTGTTTCGATTCTGCTTAATTAAAATGTGACAACTTTAATTGATATGCCGATCTTGAACTTCCACATAAGAACTCGTCATTTGAAGAGCTCTATGCATTGTTCCATGGTTTTTAATAGTTATAGTTTAATTGAAATTAGTTTGTTTTGGACGGCGTGTTTTCATATTTTTTTTTACACTAATCATTATTAATCACTAAGGTTTATTCGTAGTTCTTTGAATTGAAAGGATTTTTAGTTGTATGACATCAGAAGTATTACATTATTTAATTTCGTACAATTTAATTAATTCATTATATATATTATTGTAAAAGGAATGAACATTTTGAAATAGTCCATAATATATAATGGTCGTGTAACAGCAGGGAATAAACAAAAATCTATTAAGGTCGCGTTAACATGCGAAGCGTAATTTAGCGCAGCTCCCCAAAGGACCCTGCTGTTTGGAAGATTCACCACAAGGTGGCGCACTGCGACGATCTCCAAGTCATACCGATACAAGCGGAAAGGCCATCGGTCCTGTATAAGGATTATTTATTTACATTTCAGCATACTTCACTCTGTAAGGTAAGGCTATTTCGAAAAATGAAAAATAATCCATAATTTTAGGATATTACGTGCTTTTGAATTTAATAATAATGCATACAAATGTTTGCAGAAGCTGTACATAACAAAAATTCCACGATACCTCGAAATCAGATCGACGTACCTTTATCTTATAGCAGATTGCGTTTCTGAAATTTTGATTCGCAATGTCAGTTGCAGCATGAAGGTAATGGTGGGTTCTATGTGTTTTAATCACTTCTACGCTAAAGCTAAAGCGCCTAACTTGCGTTGATGACAGAAAATATAGTTCTTATTCTCCCCAGACCTGCTCTATGGGGAAGCGGATGGGCGAACTTAGATCTGGACGAATGAGCAAGCAGAAAATATGACTGACAGGCAGATTGTCCTCTCACATTCTGGCGCTTTTGCCAAAACACCAGTAGCTACATCCCGTGCCTTTTCAGCTAAATAGCTAGCAACGCTTAGTATCCGATTCAGAACCATCGGGTTTTTCAGCTTTTATTTCTACATTTTAATTACCGAGGCGGTATTCGATCACATCCCTTCCATGTTGCTTGTGGAGTGAGCCGGCACTCCGTACCGAGGCGGGCTCCTCTACTCATTCTGTTGTGTCTCTGGGCGCGTCAGCTAATATAAAGTCGGCGTCTCTTGCCTGTCCGCTAACAGGTCAAAGCTGACTGAATAGCTGGGGTTTCAGGCACTTTAGGTCCAGAGGAGCGACTCCGCAGCTCGCTTATTTGCCACCGCAGAATATTTTTAGACCCTAGATATAGTTTAAAGTGTATGCCGACATTTCTAAATGGCTGTGTGTTTGTAGGTAGGTAACCTACAAAAGGTAGGTAACCTACAAACAAGTAAAGATTTTTAGACATCGGTCTGAGCATAAGCGGCTCATAATGACTTCCTTACGAGGTCGGGCGTCCGTAGCGCTCCTGCCCGTCTCCGCGCTGCCTTGATGCGCGTGAGTCGCACATGCGGCACCTCTGCCCCCCTTGGTACAGATTTAGTGACGGAGGACGAGTCTCACCATGGAGAGTAAGGCCGGTATGATGACATGCCCGTTAACTTGTCATACAGGCCCCCCGGGGGGGCTGTGCACCTGCCGCTTTTGCCCAGTTGACTGAAAGCGCGCTCCTTTTTATCTTCTTAATGGGCCTTTTCGGTAACTGACAATCGCAAAATGTACCGAGGGACCACCCCCTCCCCCAACACACACACCCGTTTGAGCACCTGCCCCGTGAAAAGTCTGTGCACGTAAATGGTGTCACACCACCTTTATGGACTGGTCACTTCACTTTAATAAGGTTTATTTCAGAAATGGGACACTTGCAATAAGTTACTTGTCTACTATATACTTGTCTTTGTAAAGAGAGAAAAATAATATAGGTCGTTATTGAAGCATTAATCAGAAAGACATTATGAAACAAAAATCACCTTACGACCAGTCGTAATTCATATGTACACTGCATAGTAAAATTATATCATCATATTGTTTGGTGTTTTTATTTTTTTTTATCACCGTTTCCTTAGTTAATCATTCTTTTAACCTTTTAATCACTATTTAAACTGCTAAACGGATACCAGTGTATACTGTACTGTGAGCGCTGCGAAGAGCAGCCTGAGCACGAGATGAATGAATGAATGAATGGGCGTCTCGCGGAGAGGCTCGCGCTCCTCACGCTCACGCGGGGCCGCGCGGCCGCAAGTCTACGGCGTCTGAACGGCCGTAAAGTCGGTCAGTTGTAAGTCGCGTAGGTCGTAATACGACGACGACCTGTAGTTTTTTTAACAATGTGACGTTTTAGCATGCTACATCGCTATTTGTACTGAAAAAAGTAAAGTTAGTAGCGTCGCTGATTGTAGTTAGCTACAGCCCCAACACTGCTGAACTGTATAATAATCAGCAGTACGTTTCCATTTCTCCTCCCCAGGTACCAATCTAGTGGACCACATTTCCCAAAGCAGCATTTGAAAAGTGGTGGAACTCCATCTGAAAATGATCTGAGAAGATATGATTGCAGGCCCAGCCTTGGCCTCCTGGCCTTCAACACAGAAGTAAGGGCATCTTGCTAGAGATGACTTGAATCCTGTATTGTGTATCCTGTCAACACATGATAAATGATCTATGTACCATTAAGCATCTGTGATTTATTGGAGCACTTCTTTTTCCACTTTGTGTTGCTGTGAGTGGTTTGCCCAGCGGTCTGACCGACCTCCAGCTTGGTCCTGTGGTCGCTGGCTGTGGTTTGTTCTTCTCGATGCAAATGCAGGGTGCCCACAGAGGTCTACCACGACAGCGCTGATTCTGTGATTTTTCCCACTCCAGCCAGCCCCCTGCCGCGGATCTAGGCTCTTCTGTCTCCACGCATCACAACTCAGCGGGAGTGACAAATGAAAATCGGCAGCAGGGCACGGTGAGTAGGATGTGTCATTGTCACGGACGCTTGGACAGGTTGTGGTGTGAACCCCTTATATGAAATGATTGAGATGGAAAGCTGCTTTTGCCATTTTGAGTGCCGGTACATTGGAATGCATCTTTTCGCATATCCCAGCTTCCTCTCCCTTGACACACACACCTGAGAGTGAAGCTTGGGTCTAGGTGCAATAGTCAGGCTATTCATCCAACTGGAGCTTTTCGGGGGGTTAAGGTCCTTGCTCAAGGGCCCACGGGACATGTGACTATTCAGCCGAGGAGGAGGGGGGGATTCGATCCAGCCACCTTCCGGCACAGGCACAGAGGCCTGACCGCTGGGAGACACAGCACTGTCGTTTAGTGAATGGAACCTCAAAACAGGAAGATTGCTGTCAATTCAGTATTGTGGTTGAACCCAGTCTAGTATGTCTAACTAGTATGTGCCAGTACATGTGAAATGTGCAGGTCTGTGTTAATGGCGGCACATGTGTGACGTTCAGAGGGGCAAGCGGAGGCTGCGGGAGAGATCGGAAAACGCCAAGCGCAGACATTCGGGGCGAAACCTTGGCAGTGCTGAGCGGCCCCAGTTTGAGAATGGAGATGTTGAGGCCGTTACCCTGTTTGAAGTGGTTACCATGGGAAAAAGTGCTATGCAGGTAAGCAGAGCCGCTATTCCGCCCTCAGGTGTGACGTGAGGCTGCTTAGCTGCTCTTCCTGCAAGTCACTGCAACATCACTGCAAATTCTGATAGACAGACGCTCCCCTAGTTACAATGGGGTTATGTTCCGATAAACCTCTTGTAAGGCAAAAATATTGTAAGGCGGAAATGCATTTTAATGCAGTACACCTAACCTAACAAACATCCTAGCCTACCTTAAGCATGCTTAGAACACTTAAATTAGCTTACAGTTGGGCAAAATCATTAACGCTTCTTTATTTAAAATTTTATAATAGTGTTGAATATCTTGTGTAATTTATTGAATAATGTTCAGAAAGTAAAAAACATAACAAAGGTGAAATATCGTGAAGTATCGTAACACAGACCATTGTCACCTGGGGAGCACCTATGCTGTGGTTTCACAGGGTTGTGGGTTTGATTCCCGTCTTTTGTGTAATCTCTGATGGCCTTGCATCCCTTCTGTTTGGGCTGGAAAATTGATGGATGGACATTCCAGAGCAACACAGTTATCTGCTGTGTAAATAGATTCTTGAGAGCTGATGAAGGTTTATGGGGTTAAAGGCTTCGTTTCAGCCTGACTGTGCGCCTACAGGCCGTAGTGGATGATTGGATAGCGGCTTATCAGACAGACCGAGAAACCGCCCTCCTGGATCTCATCAGCTTCTTCATCCAGTGCTCAGGATGCAAAGGCAAGATCACCCTGATCTCCCTGTAGCACACCCTCCCTTCCTGGTTCTCTCATTACTATGGACAGCTTTCCAGTAACGAGCAACAGGCTAATTTTGAGTTGTGCTACAGGTCCCTTCAGTACAAATGACCTTGAACCTTGTGTCTCTGTCACAGGGGTGGTGACAGCAGAGATGTTCCAGTGCAAGCAGGACAGTGACGTCATGAGCAAAATGGTGGAGGAACTGGATGAGGTAGAAACCTTATTCTCCTCTGGATCCATTGTCGGCATTTCCATGTTTGCTATGGAAGTGATTCTCATTGTTCTTGATCTGTGGCAGGGGTCTGGCCTGCAGTACAAGAAGTTCCTTGCGTTTCCTTGGATCCTGACAGTCACATGGCCTTTGGACATGGTATCGCTGCCACAGAATATTATCTTTTTTTACATTTTGCATTAAATGCGTCTCGTCTTTAAAAGATGAGCTGCCAAAACATCTTTGTAAATCCAGTGCAGGATTGGGTGGGTGCGTTCGCAGTACATGTGGTTAGCGTTCAGTAAGGGTGGTCTTTCTCTCCTGCCTGCTGCTCCTTGCGGACTCTGACTTGCCTGTGTGTGTGGTTTTTGTGAGGGCGGTGGGGAGTACCCTCTGATCATGCCCGGCCCATATTGGAAGCGGTTTCGCTCCAGCTTCTGCGAGTTCGTGTCCGTGCTGGTGGCACACTGCAAGTACAGCGGCGTGTTTGACAGCTACCTGACGGACACCCTCATTTCTCTGCTGACCGAGCTGTCAGATTCCAGAGTGCGGGCCTTTCGGCACACCTGCACACTAGCAGGTGCGGCTCTTCTAAGTCTGATGTGTCAGGGTCATATAGCACTTTTAGCATTAGACAATTCCCAGCTGTTAGCAGATTCCATTATTGATTGCTTGTGGTAATAGAAGACAGTTTCTTGGTGAGGAACCTAGTTAAAAATGGGGTGGAGAAATGCAGTGGGGGATACATTGACTCATTCACATCTGTATGATACTTCCCATCTGTCTGATCCCATTTCCTGTTCCGCAGCTGTGAAGCTGCTCACTGCCTTGATTGGCGTGGCCCTGAAACTCAGTGTGAGTGTGGACAACAGCCAGAGGCTGTATGAGGTGGAGAAGGCTAAGGCTTCCAACAAAAGAGTCGGGTCCCGGCTGGAGAAGCTCCAGCGCAAGATTGATGAGGTGACGGTGACCAAGTATGGCCAGCTCTGTGCCTCGCTGGGCACGTCGGCCCTCATTTAGGCTCTGCACTGCGTCTGTGACAGTTTGGCTGATAACACTTTGTCATGTTTGAAGTTAAAGTACATGGGCTGTATGGCATGTGACTCAAGTTCTAGTTTCTGTGTTGCAGTTGCAAGACAAGAGGCTTGAAATGGAGAACATGATGGATGTGATTTTCAAAGGCGTCTTTCTGAAGCGATATCGGTAGGGCAGGGTCTCGGTCCGTGGCCCCCGTCCGTCCATGCTGTGGTCACTGGGTCCCTGCGCTGACAGTCGGTCTCTCTGTGGCAGGGATGTGATTCCGGAGATCAGAGCCATCTGCATGGAGGAGCTGGGAGTCTGGATACGGCTGTACGGTCACATGTTCTTCAATGACAGCTATCTGAAATACGTCGGGTGGATGCTCTATGACAAGGTGTGCATGCTGCGCGAGGGCGGGGGGGGCGGGCTGCAGCACCTCTGCGGTCTCCGGAGACTAAAACTTCTTTACGTTTTTTTTTTTTTGGTCTGAGTTACTTTCCTGCGAGTGATTCTGTTTCTGCCTCTGGGCTAAGTTAGTATGTCTCTGTGAGCCGGCAATGGGGAGAGTCTCTGTGGTAATGCGGGGCCGTCTCTGAGTGACAGCATGGCCCGCAGCCGCCGCTGTCTGACTGCGACGTGTCACACTGTCAGCACCGCTGAATAGCGCCGATCCCGCCGCTTCCTGTCATCTTGCCAGCGAGGCATTAATGAGAGAGATCGAAGCTTCTGCTTTCTGTGTACCTTCTGTATTCCTGTGCCAAAGTGTCTGAGAGAAGCTTTCAAACCCTGCCATCACGGCCTTCTTCAGGACTGGGGGAAAAAACAATCAAAAACGTGCTTGACTGACAGGACATAGTATAAAAATGTGTTTGCTTTGTGGGTAATTGCTGTGGTTTGCTGTGAGGCTCTTTTAAATCGGGCATGGTACCTTTAAAACTTTGATGGGTTAAATGTAGTTTTAAAATTAGTTTGTAGTCCTTTTTGTGATTCGTTGCCTTGATGTTGTTACTAATTACCCCCCCCCCCCCACAACAGCAACCTGATGTCCGTTTGAAGTGCGTGCGGGGTCTGCAGGGCCTGTATGCCGACCCTCTCCTGATCCCCAAACTGGATCTCTTCACCAGTCGCTTTAAGGTAGCTCTCTTTCATTGTGGTGTTGAAGGAAGGCTGCTGTTTATGCTGTGGTTCCATTCCCCCACACCCCCCCCCCCCCCCCCAGGGAAATCCTCCTGCTCTCAGCTGGGAGCAGGCAGCCCTGGGGACCACCGGAGTGAACGAGCACTCTGGGCCCGCTGACGCCACGCCTGAATCGGCGGGCGGGGGGCCAGCCTGGGAGAGCGGACCCATTAACGCGGCACTAATGACTTGCAGCTAGCAAGGCCCTTGGGTTTGCCTGAGGCTCTGTAGCCCTTCGTTTGGGTCGTTAGCCTGACCCAGGCATATCATTACCCCAGAGCGCAGCGCCTAGAGCAGCGAACAGATTGGCACGGCTCTGCCAGAGTGAGCAGGGGGACAGGAGGGCTGAGCCATGAGACTGTGTTCTTTCGCGATTTTGAGTGCCGTCTTTTCAGCAATTTTCCTCTTTGAGTCAGAGCAGCCTGTCCAAGGCCGGCCCACTGTTGTCGGCGGTAACCGCTTTGTATTCGTGCGTCACCACTTTGCAGCCCGGCGCGTCTGAGATCATCGGTGTTGTTCCAAGGCAAATTTGGGATGCCGTGACGATTTCTGCCTAAATGACAAAGGAGACATGCAGTCACATGCTTTCAGATGAATTATTCATCTGCGGTTAGCCCTGAGCATGCATGCGACTTAGTGAGACCTCTGTCCCTGCAGGAGAGAATGCTGTCCATGACACTGGACAAGGACCACGAGGTGGCAGTGCAGGCACTGAGACTGCTGATGATTATCTCACAGTGAGTGTGAATGAGCAGTAGGTGGCGCAGTGGTAAAAGATCTGGATTATGAGTATAGTTGTATTGACAGTCTTAACATGCATAGATTACCCCCCCCCCCAACACACATACACATGCAGCACCAAGCAGAGCACTGAAATGTTATTTATTTATTTATATTTTATTAATATTTTTATCGGACCCGATATCTGTACTAGTACCTAGATGATAGTGTTTCCAGTGGCAGACTTTTTTTCTTTGATCAGGTCCTGTGACGACACTCTAAGTGCTGAGGACTGTAAGCGCCTGTACCAGCTGGTGTTCGCCTCCCACCGAGCCCTGGCATCCACTGCGGGGGAGTTCCTCTACACAAAGTGAGTGGGCAGGATAGAAGGAACGACACACTGGGATTTAAAAACCATGGCCTGTAAATGAGTGCCCTGAAAGTGGGCATGCTTGTTGGATGGGCCTGTAGCTCGACAATATCCTGGCAGATGCCGACAGACTGAGTTTGAAGAGCTTTGGTTAATCTGTGGGTTTTAGCCTGTGCCTGAGACATGGTCCTGTGCCTGAGGCCTGGTCCTGTGCCTGAGGCCTAGGCCTGGTCCTGTGCCTGAGGCCTAGGCCTGGTCCTGTGCCTGAGGCCTGGTCCTGTGCCTGAGGCCTGGTCCTGGTCCTGTGCCTGAGGCCTAGTCCTGGTCCTGTGCCTGAGGCCTAGGCCTGGTCCTGTGCCTGAGGCCTGGTCCTGGTCCTGTGCCTGAGACCTGGTCCTGTGCCTAGGCGACTGAGCGCTTGCACCCAGCTTGACCGCGCGGATGGCCCCTCTGAACGGGACCCCGTTGCTGCCAGGATTGTAGCCATCCTTCAGTTCTTCGGGGAGAGCGAGGTGAGGAGGCCTCCACTCGTCGCCTGGGTGTGTGTGGGGGGGTCTCAGCTGACCGAGTGCATGGATGTGCTACACAGCTGCACCAGCATGTGGTTTACCTGGTGGACAGTCTGTGGGACTCTGCAGGATCCCTGCTGAAGGACTGGGCCAGCCTCACCTCTCTGCTGCTGCATGGTGCAGGTCAGTGCGGCAGGGTCCGAACGCTCCCCTAGACGTGGAGAGGAATGTCACCACTGACACTGTGAATGAAGGAGGTTCCCATCTTTTCTCTGTGCACACTCGTGTGTGTGTGTGTGTGTGTGTGTGTGCGTGCGTACAGGACTGAGCTGTGCCCAAGAAGGCCTTCTGATCGAGGTTCTCCTAGCGTCTGTAAGACAGGCAGCAGAGGGACCCCCAGTGGCAGGCAGAGGAACTGGCAAGAAGGTCTGTGTCTCTCTGCTTCTGGTGCCAGCCGCAGCCTGAGCTGGAGACTCACGCCATGCGCGTCTTTGCCAGGTGACCAGTGCCAGGGAGCGGAAGGCCCAGGCTGACGACTGTCTGCGGCTGACGCAGCACTTCGCAGTGACCCTTCCTCAGCTGCTCTCCAAGGTGGGCACCAGCCCCCCGGCTCCCGTCCACTGGCCACGTGCCCCTACATGTTCTCTCTCTCTCTCTCTCCAGTTCTCGGACGACCCGGAGAAGGTGGCGTGCTTACTCCGAATACCTCAGTACTTCCAGACCGACGCCAGTAGTGCTGGGTTTGCAGAAAAGGTCAGTGTTCCGTTTACCGTAACGGCATAAGCTGCAGCAGCGGCACTGCGCACTCACTGTGACTCACCCGCGCCCTCTGCAGCCCTGACAAGTGCACGCTTCTCCTTCCTTCTAGTACCAGGAAGCCCTGCTCGCAGAGATGGGTGTCGCTGTGGAGAGGCACAGTGACGCGGCAGTCCTGCAGGCGGCCGCGGGCACCTTCCAGGCGCTGGGCAGCGAGGACACAGCCTGGCACAACGCGGCATCTGCTGCTCGTGACCAGCTGGTGCGGCGCTGGGCTGCGAGGCTGGGCGCCCTTCTGGGAGACGCGCTGACACCGGTGAGCTCCCACACGCCTGTCGCACGACGCCATCACACCTGCACGTGTCCCACCCACGACTAAGGGTGTGTTCCTGCTCCGAGGAGCACAGCTGATCCGTTCCCCTTGTCTGTGCCCATCAGGATGGGGTGTTCAGTGCTGATGCGGACACTGTGGAGGAGATTCTCTCCATGCTAAAACGAGTTGCCACTTTCTACAAGTAAGGGACCTCTGCTCTTAGTCCTGTGCATTGCCTGCAGGAACATGCAAACACGACTCCTCCTCTTGGCCCCCAGTGCTCAGGATCTGTCCCAGTGGGGGCTCCAGGACGCAGCCTCTCGCCTGCTCGGGGTGGAGCTGGATCACGGTGGAGTGCCCCATCAGGTGCGCACAGCCCCGCTGCCTCCATAGGGCTGCGTGCCTCCGCCCGCCCTGACGGCAGCTGTTGCGGTTCCCCTGCAGGTGGCGTCGGTGGCCCTGCGCTGCGTGTGCTGCTCCATCCTCTGGCGCCTCAGCACTTGTATGGAAACATCGCTGTCCAGGGTGAGAGTTCAGCCTCGACCTTCACTGACTCGCTCTTGCAGGGATCCTTCTCTGTGCTTCTTAAGGTTTATTTTTCCATGGGGAGTGAGAGGATCACAGAGCCCTTTAAGTGAGGGATCAGGACCGGCTTTCTATTGGTTCTGGGGAAGCAGCATCGTATGCACGCTAATGGATTTTCCGCCACAGTGCAGTCACATTTCCCAGCGCACTGGCTGCTGTGAGCCATCGACTGTCATTATGTGAGCTTCTGGGTGAAGGTGGGATCTACAGCCGCGTGTGGGAGGGGCACGTGGGCCGATGCCTTTGGCAGGACCTTGTCCTCGGTGACTGACGGCCGGGCCGGGATTCTGAGCCGGAACACCATAACATAACGCCTCTGGCATTTGACCCCTGGAGTGGGTTGAGGGGGAGACAAAAGATATGAAAGGACTCGTTTAGCAGAAAATATGAAACTTGTGATGAGATTAAATCATGCTGATTTAATTAGGCCTCGGTGTTCAGGCAGCCCAGGTGTCTGTTCGGAAAGCATGAGTATTGCGCTGGGACAGAGAGTCATGTGACACGCCGTCATCAGTCAGCAGCAGTGAGCAGCCTTATGCTTCGCCTGTCATTCTGCCCGTGGTGATCAGGGTCCTGTTTTTCTTACCTCTGTCAGGGTATACAAATAGGGCTTTTATTTATTGTGTAGGAACATTCTGGAAGCTTCCCGATAATTGAATGGGTAGTTAACTGGCATGTCTGAGGCTGCCCACTAGAATTGGGTGTCCGGTGGAGTGCTGAGGGTTTGGCTGCGATATCGAAGACCAAGTGAAGGGCCATGTCTAATTTCCTGTGCGTGCGTCTGCAGGAGGAGGCCGTAGCCCAGCGGAATCAGCTGCGGGCCTTCTGTGAGCGCTGCTGCCGCTTCCTGTCTCACGGGCAGCCCTCCGTCAGGGAGCAGGTAGGCAGACGGCGCGGGGGGGGGGGGCGCCGCAGCTTCACCGGCCTGCTCATGTGTTTACAGAAGCAGATAAGCCAGGCAGTTTCACAGCTGCTAAGTGCATCACCACAATCGCAGAACGCACAGTGGTTAGTTCAGTCATTCGAGGTATTTGACCAGAGTGATCAGTGACCATGTTGATTCATGTTCATCTTGTTCCGAATCCTAATGTCGTAGTTTCACTTTTTTTGCCCTGCTGTGTGTTCACCACTTGTGACTGTTGGTCACCCCCCAGGCCTTCCTCTCGCTCTGTGACTTGCTCACCGCTCACAGTTACCTCCAGGCGTGGGACCACACTGTCGGTGCCCCCCTGCTCTACACCCCGGACCCCAAGCTCCAGCGGGCCCTGCTGGCTTTCACCTTGGAGCACGTCTTCACGGGTGCTGACCACGACGCCCAGAGCAGGGGTCAGTCATCCTCATGAAGCTGCCAGATTTCCCAGTGTTAGGCTAGTGACGGGGAAAATGGGGCCCTAAGCCACACCCCCTCCCTGTGTAAACCTCACTGTGGAAGAGGGGCCACATGATTTACTTTGTGTTTTGTTTTTTTTCCTCCTAAGTGGCAGCTATTAAGGTATTTCTTCCACAACATACCCAGCAGAGCAAAATACATGCTGCATGGATAGAATTCTAAATCTTCCGCAGTTATAAAGTTAGCTAAATGTGTAGGATACATTTGTAGCATCCGCATAATTTGCCACATTTGCCGTAGGTTTTGTAAAATTCTGCTGTTTTCCAGCAGGTGGCAGTATTTGACTACACGACTAGTTGCTCAGTTGCAAATAGATATTTGACCGAGTGATAAGATATTCTGGTGTTAAATGCATGGTCACTTGTTGATGTGACGGCTCACCACCAATGTAGCACAGCACTGAATCCAAAACAAATGCGGCAGTTCATGTTTAATCTATTCATTTCCTTTTCAAAATGTGCTTCGAATTTAGCGTTTATCTCATCCCTGGAAATCTTGTGACAAAAGTTTCCAGAAATTTTCATAGACGTCTGTGAGGGCATTAATCATTCTTACAGGGGCTGTCCAGACAATTTAAGTTGGCAGGTAGTTTGCAGGAGAGCATGTGTTCTTTGGTACAAAATTTGGTACAAAAAATACAAAAACACGCTTCAAGATCGATCACGATCAAAACTGTGAGACACCGCAGGGATGGACCGCGTGCTGTGTGCAAGTCTGCTGCTCATGCATATGTGGGGACCTGTGCTCTGCAAGAAGCCGTTGTCTGCCGTATATTCACATGAGAGCCGAGCTCCCCATTGGTCTGTTGAGCCCCTCTAGGAATCTCTACATGTTGTGAAGACCAATGAAAGTCCAGGGGGGGGTGCTGTGAGTGTGGCTCCGTGTGGCTTATTAACTTTTGGAAGTTCCATCTCAGACGATGGAAGGTGTCACAGTGCGCTACCCTCGAACTGTGTGACAGGGGGCATGGAATAGGTGACAAAACCATGCTGTTGTTTTTGCTCGCTCTCTCGCTCTGTCAGTTTTTAGTTTGTGGTCTGTATCGGAATGGCAAAGTTTGTACTTCTGAAGCACTACCACAAACTTTCTATTCACTTTGTAGGAAAATAATGTACAATGCTCACAACGTCGTGGGACACTTGACTAATTCTGTAAAAATGTTGCACATTTATTGGTTTCATAACAGTCCATTGTTAAGCGATGTTTAACATCTTCCACACAGACATTTTATTTTTAAAAAATGTAATTTTTTTGACAGACTCGTTCAGGGCTGTTCCTGCCATTTACTGTTAATTGTGATTGTAGTATCCCAAAGGGATACTAAACACAAATGTTTGGTGTTTTATGTTATTGCGAAAGTGTCACTAATTACAAAGCACCCAATCAGACTGCTTGTCAATGAACCTTTTAACTTGGAACATAATTTGGGTTTCATTTTATTACTACTTGAATGTTTTACTTAATCATTATTTAAAGTAATGATTTCTTTTGTTTTAAAACCAATAAATTAGCAATATTTTTATTGAATTAAGCAACTGTCCCGAGACGTTCTGTGAGCACTGTAGATGTGTGTCACGGTCATGCTATTCTCCTGGGAATGTCCAGCTAGTTGTTGAAATGAAGCCCTTGTCCTGTGACGTGTCCATGGGTCTTCCCTCCCCTGCATGCAGCCAGCGAGAGTGACCTTGAGACCAGCCGGCTGGAGGATCTTCACAGGCGCCGGAACCTTCTGGCAGCCTACTGCAAGCTGATCGTGCATGGCGTGCTGGAGATGAACATGGCCGTCGAGGTCTTCAAGCTCTACATGCAGGTACAGCGTCTAGATAGAAAAAAACAGGGTACTGCAGGTACAGTATCCGGATAAAAAAAAAAAAACAGGGTACTGCAGGTACAGT